TTTTAACTTACTCATTAATTTCTATAAAAAAGGTCTTAGGTTCGAACCTCATCCCAATTAGAGTTAGCATAATTGTTAAACATATACTACGAATATGTTAAAATGTATTTAAAAAAATATATAATATAAAATTTAATATAAACTTTGGTCCAATAATTAGTCCGACTAAATAAATAACATTCAAAGTTAAGCATCAAAGATTATAAATCAAGAACTTTAAAAATCATTTGATTTTTATGCATTAAAACAAAAACAAATTTAGGTTAAGTTTTTTTTTTTTTTTTTTTTCGTTTAATTAATCTTCTTTTGATTATTTAGATCAGAACAAAACTTAATATTTCAATTATACTTTTGCATTATTGGTATGATTTAGGTCTTTATGGTATTAATATTTTTTGTATGTATTTCTATAGTGATACAATTGTACATTACTTTACAAATATTATACTATTATTTTGTTTATCGGACAAAATTGTTCTTACATCATTGTTAGACCTACGCGACCTAACTACACACTTGTTGATCATAAATACAATTACACATGGACTCTAAAATGGTAGGACCATTTTCCAAAGAATTGACAATGTTAACATCCCACTGGTTCCAATTGAACAAGTTTACACATCAGAATTTTATCAATGCATGAATATTTCTAAAGAAATCTGTAAGTTAATTTTTACTATACCATTATAACAATATCTATTGTAGCTATATATTTTGAATTATTTATTATCATCCTCTATTGATAGAAATTGTAACAATTGTCATTGACAAACTCTCAAAACAATGTCTCAACAACGTAAATTTTTTTAAAAAAATCAATAATTTCATTATTGTTGATGAAAAGTATGTACACCACTTTATTACTCTTATTAAATTAAATAAATTAGTAGTTACAAAAAAAAATAATACATATGCATTTAATTAATTTATAATTAGATGTCTATAATACCTTTATTTAAAAAAAATCCCAATTAGAGTTAGCATAATTGTTAAACATATACTACGAATATGTTAAAATGTATTTAAAAAAATATATAATATAAAATTTAATATAAACTTTGGTCAAATAATTAGTCCGACTAAATAAATAACATTCAAAGTTAAGCATCAAAGATTATAAATCAAGAACTTTAAAAATCATTTGATATTTATGCATTAAAAAAAACAATTTTAAGTTAATTCTTTTTTGTTTAATTAATCTTCTTTTGATTATTTAGATCAGAACAAAACTTAATATTTCAATTATACTTTTGCATTATTGGTATGATTTAGGTCTTTATGGTATTAATATTTTTTGTATGTATTTTTATAGTGGTACAATTGTACATTACTTTACAAATATTATACTATTATTTTTTTATGGGACAAAATTGTTCTTACATCATTGTTAGACCTGCGCGACCCAACTATAAAGTTGTTGATCATAAATACAATTACATATGGACTCTAAAACGGTTGGACCATTTTCCAAAGAATTGACAATGTTGACATCCCACTGGTTCCAATTGAACAAGTTTACACATCAGAATTTTATCAATGCATGAAAACTTCTAAAGAAATTTGTAAGTTAATTTTTACTATACCATTATAACAATATCTATTGTAACTATATATTTTAAATTATTTATTATCATCCTCTATTGATAGAAATTGTAACAATTGTCATTGACAAACTCTCAAAACAATGTCTCAACAACGTAAATTTTAAAAAAAAAAATTCAATAATTTCATTATTGTTGATGAAAAGTATGTACACCACTTTATTACTCTTATTAAATTAAATAAATAGTAGCTACAACAAAAAATAATACATATGCATTTAATTAATTTATAATTATATGTCTATAATGCCTTTATTTAAAAAAAAATATTCATTATAAAAAATTTAAAAAGAGATGTTATATTATCTTTATTTTCTACAATTCAAAGATTCATTACCTTCAAATTTATTAATTTATTATATTTACTACATTGTCCATTGTCTTCTTTTTACATTATCTTGTAATTAAATATCAAAGTTATAATACAAAATATGTTATATATATTTATTTACCAAGTATTTTATACAAATATAATAAATATTAATATTTTAATTTGTTCAATACTTTCACATGATAACCTACGACACACATCTCACAACGCATGAAACATGCATGTAGGGGAAAAACTACCACTACCAAATATCAATAGGTGCTTGTAAGATAAAGAGTTAATAGTACAACTAAGATCCCATCATATATACAACAAGGTAAATCTAAAGCTTCCTACATCATAATCTCATTGCACGATGAATCCATCTATGCTACCACCAGTAACCCAATTGCACATGACACACTACAAAAAAAAAAAAAAAGATGACATGTACCGAAGATGAAGACAATGATAATGCTATCCAAAAAAAAAAATTAAGAAGAATTAGAGAAATTTTAACAAAAAAATAGTATTTATTTCGACTATCGTTTTTAGACTAAGTATTTAGACTAGCATTATTACAAAGTTGCAAACATTTATTTTAGTGACAATATAATCAATCTCTCATATATTATCTTGCATTTATATATTTTAAATTACAGATTTAAATAAACAAATTCAATATTTATTTACCTATGCATGAACATCTCCGATAGAATATTGCATTGATCACTACAAGAAAAATGCACATAGACAACACTAGAAAGACAACAGTTTTTAAGAAAAGTGTTGCCTTTTGTATAAAAGACAACAGTTTGGTCCAAAACCGTTGTCTTTGATGCAACACTTTTGTCAAAGACAACGGTTTTTAATTAACCGTTGTTATAAGTGTGTTGTCTTTGTGCATTTTATGAACAGACAACACCACAACGACAACGGTTTTATAAAACCGTTGTCTATGTGCATATTTTTTTTTTTAGAAAGACAACGGTTTTTTTAACCGTTGTCGTTGGTGTGTTGTCTTTAAGCGCACTGGAATACACAACACTAGAAAGACAACGGTTGTTTAAAACCGTTGTCTTTGTGCGATCTTTAAAAAAAAAAAAAAAGACAACGGTTTTATTTAACCGTTGTCGTTGGTGTGTTTTCTTTAAGCGCACTAGAATACACAACACTACAAAGACAACGGTTTTTTAAAACCGTTGTCTTTGCGCATTATTATTTTTTAAAAGACAACGGTTTTATTTAACCGTTGTCATTTATGTGTTGTCTTTAATAGCACTTGAATACACAACACTACAACGACAACGGTTTTTTATAACCGTTGTCGTTGCGCGTTCTTTATTTGTTTAAGACAACGGTTTTATTTAACCGTTGTATTTGGTATGTTGTCTTTAAGCGTATTTGAATACACAAGACTACAAAGACAACAGTTATAAAAAACCGTTGTCTTTGCGCAATATTATTTTATAAAAGACAACGGTTTTATTTAACCGTTGTCTTTAATAGCACTTGAATACACAACACTACAACGACAACGGTTTTATATAACCGTTGTCGTTGCGCGTTCTTTATTTGTTTAAGACAACGGTTTTATTTAACCGTTGTCTTTGGTATGTTGTCTTTAAGCGTATTTGAATAAAAAACCGTTGTCTTTGCGCATCATTATTTTATAAAAGACAACAGTTGTATAAAATAAAAACAATGACATTAACAACAAGAGTCGAACCTATGACCTCAAACATAACAAATAAAGTTTTACCAACTAACCAACACAAACTCTTATGTAGCAAAGTGCAACATCTGGTATATTATATATAATTGGGTTGCTTATATATAAAATAAGCGAAGGATGCCCTTAGGAAGAATAGAACCCAAGACTTCTAACATAACAAACTAAGCTAAACCCACCAAGCTACACCAACACTTATTTTTTGCATAAAATATAGGTTAATGATGCCACCAAGAAGGATAGAACCCAAGACCTCTAACATAACAAACAAAGCTAAACCCACCAAACCACACCAACTCTTGTTTATTATGTTGGTGATAATGAACCACAATCGATTTAATATCCCAAAAATAATATTTATATATACACACACAAGTATATAAAATATTATTGGATATTTATCCGAAATATATATATACACACAAATATATATAAAACGGACCCAACGGTTATATATACATGTATATCTACGAAAAAGATATATCAATATATATCAACCAAAAGAAAATATAATCCTTAGATTATAATTCCAAAACAACAAGAAAGAACGGATTTTTGCTTAGAGCATAATCCAAAACAAGAAAGAAGGAGAAGGAAGAAAGATTCGTACGAGTTAGGCAAAGTGTCTGTCTTTCCTTAAAACCTTATTTGCCACCTCCCAGAAGTGCTAGGAGCGTTGTGGCCTAGGTTTCCCAGGATAAAACGTACAACGGTTCGACGTTTGAGCACCCAAACGAACGAACCCGGCAAACTAGAGCACGGGCAAAACACAGTAGCAAGAAAGGTGTAGGAGCATAGTTTTGGAGCTGGGAAAAACAGAATTTTCTGTGTTGTGTGTGTTGTTCTCCCGTGTAGAAACACTGCTGCTACACCCCTTCTTATATAGGAGGTGAGGAATCAATAGCATTTAGTTTAGCATTTAATCCACGATTTGTAACACCTGAAACAGCCACCATTATTGAGATTTAACTCAAAAATTCAAAAGGTGGAATTAATACAAGATTAATCCTGTAACAGTCCAGAACCAACAAATGGTCCGCGCTGTTTCAGCTCAGTTACTTTCGGGATGCACGAAAGTTCGTGCTTCAGTGCACACGAGACTGAACTCTCACGGCTGGAAATCACCATTTTTCTGACCTCCTTTCCGACCACCCAAAAAAGTGGTCGCAAAAAATTAAATTTTTTTCATTTTTCGTCCGAAACTTGCACTAGTCGGAAAATGGTCAGAAATACCGACACTATTTAAATGTGGTCGGAAATGTTTTCAACCATTTTAAATTTTTAAAATTAACTTTATAATAATAATATATAAAAAGCTCAGCTCCACCGCCGCATACGAATACTAGTCTTTTAGGACACAAAAGTTTTTCAAGTGTTACGCTATTTCCGCGACACCTCAACGGAAATTTTTAAAATAAAAACAGATATGCTCGTCATATCCTCATTTCCTCTCCTTCATCGCTAATAGTCAAGGGTTCAGCCTGAGACCACAGCCTCCAAGCCTAGGACTCGGAGTTGAACGAGCTTGCGGCGGCCGAGGAGGAATCGGACGATGTTGCTGGTGGAAACCTCATGCGGAGCAAGGCTTCACCGACTAACTCCCATTTCTACCTCTTTGCTATGGAAACCGGTTCGAATTCCACTAAGAAATCGACCAGAGGAAGGCTGAAGAAGGTTATCGATCTGGCGGAGGATGTTACTGAGGTTTCGGAGTTGAACGAGGTTGTGGCGGCCAAGGAGGAATTGGACAATGTTGCTGGTGGAAACCTCATGTGGAGCAAGGCTTCACTGCCTGAGCGGAAACGGATCTGGAAGAGGAAGCGAAGCAGCGTTGGCCTCACCGCTACCAGAAGGTTTGAGCTTGGAATTGCATTTATTCTCTTCTTATTTATTGGCTTGATGCGGTTTAAATTGAGTTACTTCATTTTTTTTGTTTATTCTGTTGTGTTTTGCTATGCATTTCTTGATTAAATGTTTCTGGTTATAGGGCACAGAAATCAAATGGTGGAATTAGGAGTATAACTAAGTAAATTTCCTCTGCTGGTGAATGCCTCATTTATGTTTTGTTTTAATGCATATATTCAATCAAAGATTTAGATTTTTGTAGAGTTTTGTGTATGTTCTGATTAGATAATATATTAAATTTGTAATTAATTGGTGGTGCAGCCAAGATGAATCTGGTGGGGTACTTCAGGCTAAGAGACATTTTACAGCAGCAAAAGTTGATGGCCTGGTTTATAAGCTTGGGGGTGATGCTTATGTTAAGGTAAGGTTCTGATTTTTCTTTTACTTTTGTCATTAGGATGGGATACTTAGGCATTTTTTGAGAGGTTATGTAATCTTTCAGCTGAATGAGTATGCACTATTATTTGGTAACTTCTAGTTTTTAGTAAATATTCATTGAACATGGTTGGATAATTCCTTCTGTGGTATTATCTCAATTCTAGGACATGTTGTACTGTTCTGTTTCAAACAATAGGAACCAAGGTTAAATAAAGAAATTTATTGAAAAATGACCTTTTGGTGAATGAATTTACCACAGCTTCTCTAGGTTTCTATATATGAATTTCTATATATACATTTCTATATATGAATTATTTATTGTGATGGCATTCTTGAGATGTTCCAGATGGCCCTCCCCGGATCCTCCCAATGATGGCGCTTAGAGGAGATGAATTATTGTTGCACCAATTGTTGAAATGGGGCCTTCACCCAAATGAATCTGACAACAATGGGAGAACAGCTCTTGAATGTGAACTCCACTGCTGAATTTTTTTAAACTGTGTGGCTGAGTGCCACATTTCAATCAATTTCTTTTGCTTTTCCATTTTCCACCCTTCAGCATAAAGCAGTATCTAAAGGACATGAGAATTGTGTACTTCTGCTGGACTTTGGGGCCGTTCCCAACATTAGAGGTATATAATATTTTGATACAAATCCAGTAGCCAAATTTAGAAGATACATGATTTAAATTTTACTAACTTGTGAAGGACAGTCATATTCCACATTTACTGATCATCATCAAATAATATGCTACAGATTATTTCTTCTTGTTTGTTCATCATTTTTTACACCCACAGAACACATAAGCTTTCAAGAAGTATCTGTTTCTTTCATTATTGATGATTTGCCACTTTTTCTTAGGAATACAAATACATCACGAGAATGAGGTTGACTTACATTAGTTCATCTGTGGCATCCCATCTTAGGAATACAAATACAAATACTTGTTCGTGATATCCCATGGTCTCAAGAAGAATCATAAGCTGGTGGCAAAATTCTTTACAAGTTATTATGCATAAAGCTATTTATCTCATCAGATCATATACCGGTCAGGTGATGTTCAGAGACTGGTGGTAAGTATCTGATAGACCTTTTTGTGATTCGTGAAAGATAAATATGCCAAACTAAAGCAAGCGAGTAAAACAGATCATCCCGTTGGACTCAGTGTAAGAACTCTCCCCCTCACTCATTCCCTTTTTCTTTATCTTTATATGTATTCCCTTCCAAAGTAAGTTTCTGCTCCACGAATACTGTTTTTATTTTGTAATTAATTAAATATGGAAAGGGTTGCTTGCTCTAGTTTGTTGTCTTTTGCGTTAGCTTGTCCGCCACTATTACCTCACACTGTCCTTTTCAATATTATTGCCAGGTGAATGCTGTAAAGTTTAATGATTAATGATTATGCTACTGTAGTTGTATCTGCCGGATATGATAAATCTTTGCGCATTTGGGACTGCAAATCTCACAGTACTGATGAGCCAATTCAGGTTCGTAACTTTCCCTTTCTTATACTGTAGGTTATTAGTCACATTGAAACTATATTTTTTAAAAACCTCTGAGGTTATAAACATAATGACTTTTGATTTTGTGGCTATGGGTTATGTCGACCTCTTGAACAATGTTACTTTTACATGTGTTTTTTCTAAGATTGAATTAGTGTGTACTATTTGCCAGGTTTTGATTTGTCAAAATGAAGGTGAAAGGTGCATGAAAGAAACATCTATTAATTCACTGAGGATAAGCCTCAAGGTACTGATAGCAATGTGCATATTCCTATTTTTGTTTCTCTATACAAATGTTCTATAGCATATTTACACTGTGGTGATCATCTGAGGCATTCTAAGCACCAGCTTCACATCATGATGGCTCATTTTGGCTGCAGTATGCAACTGTGTATCTTCTTCAATATCCCAGAGGCCAATGGGTTCAGTATACATCCAAATTCCATTTATTGGTTTCCTTGACATTTTAAGTAGTTGTGTACATGGTGTTTGCATGCATTATGTATAGCTCGAGATTTTGATTCCCAAAAAGAAGAAAAGAAAATACAAGTAAAAGCTTATGTTTGTCACTCTCTGTTGCTTTTCCTTCTATAAACATTATAGGAACATAAGAAAATTGAATCAGATGCTTGTTTAGGCTCCAAGAGAAGTTTTTCATTCTGTATTTTTTTTCCATGTTTAGATCCCAAGTACAGTGCAGGCAAATGCTGAAGTTCCCGAGGATGAAGAAGACATTGATGAAGAAGCTGTAAGAACTGCATCCATGTATCATAGTTTTTGTCTTTTCTTTTTAGATTAGATTGACTTGTGTTAAATTTTTAACTGTATACTCATGATGGATTCTTTTCAAGTATATGAAATGTCTATTTTGTATGTGTTTTTCAACAAATATCTTACCAGCTTGGAACTATATATATATATATATATATATATATTCATTTCATTACAGAGGATTCCTCTGTAGTGAAATGAATTTTTTTTATTGACCGCGTCCAGTTTTCCGACCACCAAATTGGTCGAAATTTTCGACCACTAGTGGTCGAAAAAGCTGGACCCGCCTAACTATTCTCTTGGCCATTTTTCCCGACGGCCTTAGAAAAGTGGTTACTCTTTCCGACCACTCTCTCGGGTGGTTGAAAATAGCTAGAGGGATTTTTCCGGATACTCAAATTGGTCGGAAAAGAGGTCGGAACAGGCATTTCCGACCTAATTAAGGTCATTTCCGACCACTTTTCGGTGGTCGGAAAATGGCAAATTTCCAGCAGTGTCTCGTGTGTGCTCACAACACGAGATTCAAACTCTCGTGTAACCTCATGACAGCGCACGAGAGATCAAGTCTTGATCTCGTGTAACCTCATGACAGCGCACGAGAGATCAAGTCTTGATCTCGGGTGATCTCTCGTGGTGTGGCCATATAGTGTTGGAAAACTGTACAGAAATTGGCATAACTTAGCCCGCAAGGCCAGCCAATTTTCGGACGACATTCGTGCCCCCAGGTGCCGGCGCACACGAGCTCGGGCTTGAATCAAGCCTTTTTCAATCTCGTTCAATTTAATTTGATTCAAACTCTCGTGTAACCTCATGACAGCGCACGAGAGATCAAGTCTTGATCTCGTGTAACCTCATGACAGCGCACGAGAGATCAAGTCTTGATCTCGGGTGATCTCTCGTGGTGTGGCCATATAGTGTTGGAAAACTGTACAGAAATTGGCATAACTTAGCCCGCAAGGCCAGCCAATTTTCGGACGACATTCGTGCCCCCAGGTGCCGGCGCACACGAGCTCGGGCTTGAATCAAGCCTTTTTCAATCTCGTTTAATTGGAATTTGATTTGCCACCCCCCCCCCCCCCGCGAGAGAGCCTCTATGCTATACAATTCTACAAGCTCCAAAAGAGCTCTTGTATAAAAGGGGGGTGAAATCCTCTTTCCAAATCAATGTGGGACAAAGCTCACTTTTCCCTTACATTTTTCCAACTCAATGGGTCTACTTTGAGAATCAATATCTCATTCACCCATTATCCGTTTTGAGCGTGCAATATATCAATCTCTTCGTCTCACTACGAAGAACCCGAATCCACTTTGACCCGACCCAAATCGGAAGTGGACCCCACTGATAATTGTACCACAAAATAGCCACTTAATATGTCATTTTATGCCATTTTAATGCTATTTTTTTCAACATATTAAAGTGTTACACCATATCTTTTACCTATAATTTGGACCTTCATTGTTTTTGTTACGAGATGAAAATAGATGTTTAGAAGATCTAAAACAAAATAAAAATGTAATTAAATTTTTTGTCCAAATATAATGCATAAAAAATTAATAAAGAAAAAATACAATTCAAAAGTTAATTTAATAGTTTTATTTTCGTTCATATTTAAATATAAAATTATTCACCAAAATTTAAATGCCAATTCATTAAAATTTTATTTTACAATTCATTAAAGTTTTATTTTCAATTCATTAAATTACATGGCATAGAACGGCCCTGTGCGGTGCGGTGTGGTGTTCAGAATGGTGCGGTATGGTGTGGAGGAGTTAAGGGCGGTATGATAGGGGCCGGGGTTGGTAATCGACCTTTCCGGCATGCATGGGACACGTGGAGAATGGATATGAAAGAGTAGTTAACGTCGTACAGTTAGCTATAGCCCATTTCTTTTGCCGCGATCTTTGTAATAATTGGGCCGCCAGCCTTTGGAAGAATAAACCTTCGGGTAATAAAGGGCAAATTATGATGTGCAATCGTGTGCACCATGCATGGTGCACACTGTTCTATGTTCATAATTACCGAACTATATATTCATAATTTTTTAAATTCAAAATATTCATAATAATTGAACTCTATATTCACAATTACAGAACTCTATGTTCATAATTTTCGATGTTCATATTCCCAATTGTTGAACTCTGTATTCACAAATCACAAAACTATATGTTCATAATTTGATAACTATACAATTTAGAAATTATGAATCAACAATACAGAAATTATGAATCTGCAGTGTAGAAATTATGAATCTACTGTATAGAAATTATGAATCTATTGTATTTAAATTATGAATCTACGATTTAGAAATTATGAATCTAGAGTAAAGATTTTATAAATCTACAGTATAGAATTTATGAATCTACAGTATAAAAATCTATGAATCTCGCGTTCTGTACCTATACACCCGGTACTATTTTGGGTCTAGCGACCCGGGTAATAAAGCTACTATTTTCTTAGTCCCGTTCTATACCTATATACCCGGTTTATGGTGGACCCGGTCCCTATAAAACCATGAATATACTTATTTAATTTGGAAAAAATATGAAGGCTTATTATAAAATAAAAATAAAATTTCGTTATTTTCCTTATTATATTAGATATATATGTTATCACTACAAGAAAAACAGTTTTTAGTGACAGAAAATTAGTGACAGATGAAAAACTCCCTCACTAAATGTATTATTTGCATAATTTTTATGAAAGTTAAAAATTACTCTAGCTAAAGATTTATAATTTAGTGTTGAAATTTTAATTTAATACTTATTTTAAAAATATATACTCTCACTATTGATAAGAAAGATGTTATTACTCTCAATATTGGTGTGTGAAAATTATTTCATTAAAATCTAATTCCCACCAAAACCTAAAATCTAATTCCCACCAAATTTTTACAACCCACACATCTTTCTCTCTTCTCTCCTAAATCCCTAAAACATTACTCCGTAGTTCTCTTCTCCAAACGCCGCCTCCAGACCGCCATCGCCACCTCCAATTGCCCAATTGGCCGAAAAAATGGCGCCTCTCGCTGGCCAAAAGAAAAACAAAGTAGAACTTAGAGGTGTACCCCAATTTCCTAATCGTCTACCCTTCTATCGCTTCCCTAGTTCCCCCAACTCCCCAAGCCCTAACTCAGCTGACAGCAAGACTCCGCCTCCGCCCTTGCCGAGTCCCGACCACAAAGCTGCTGTCGACGACACCGGAGGACTCCGCATCTCCTCTCCGGTCTCCGCCTTCGCCCAAGCTGCGGCCTAGTCTCCGCCTCAGCCCCTGCCGACGAGGAAGCTACTGCCCGGTCTCCGCCTCCGCCCCTGTCGACGACGAAACTGCTGCCTGTTCTCTGCCTTAGCCTCACATGTGAACCAAGGTAACGCCTCCTGCAATGAAATTCATAATGTGTGCTAGACCGTAATTTGTGAAATATGATTTGCAATTGATTTGTGTTGGACTGTATTACTCAACTATGTTTTTATTTATTTATTTATTTTTATTTTTTTGCTTATTACTCAACTGTATCAATCTAGTTTGCAATTGACTAAGGCTTTAAGCAATGTGTTATTTTTGCTTATTCCCTTTATTGATAGGACAATAAAACACATGTTTTTCATGAAAAATGTTACTGATGAGGCTATAATATGATGAGGCAACAGGTTAAAAAAGAGCTTAGTTGATATTTACTTTTTGCAGCATAGTGATTCAATGTAGGAGTCTTTTCTACTTTATTTTGGGTAATGGGAATCATATATTTTACATTTTTACAGATAATACTTATCTTTTCACATCTTGTAGTTGATACTTTACTACCAAAATAATGCATATGTGATGGCTAATTGCTATGACTACTGGATTTGTCTGAACCTGCTTAATGCAATAAATAAAGATCCTATGTATTACATTTTGGGACATTATATATCTCATGTTACCCAAGCAGGAGAAGGAGCTAATTGAGAGGCATCACACATGGCTTAATGACGAGTTAACTACCAAAGTCAATGATCTCATAAACCTTCGTAAAACTCATTCCAAACTTGAGGCATACATGTCTGTTAAACTTTCTGATGTAAGTTGGTATTGAAGAGCATGTCATGCCTACTATTTATTCTTTGGTTCACCCACACAACATCACTGATATGAATGTATTGACAAATTTAGGTAGAGAGGAAGTTCAGTGAAAGTTCTAGCTCTTTGACATGGTACAAGGACAGAGTAAGGGAGCTGGATTTGAAGTTGGCATCCTTGGAGCAGGTTTGTCTGTTAGTTTCCATTATGTTATTTATTTTCCTGGTTGATCCATTTGTTTCCTAATAATTTTTGTATCTTCATTACATAATTGAAGGAGCTGTTATCATCAAAGGATGCAGCTTCTAGGACAGAGGAACAATCATCTGCTAAGATTTCTACTGTAAGTGTTTTCTATTTTTTCTATCCTCTTTTATACTTAAGTTCATGAGTAAAGTAATTAATTCACAAAAAAGCATTTAGCTGGTGAACACAGAGCTTTAGAATTTACTTTTGTGGCAATAAATTTTTTCTTGGCATAAATTCTGATGCATGTAGCTCTTAATCATCCTCAGATAGGAAATGCATTAAATGTTTTTTTCCCCAGTCTTAATACCTGCACTTTGTTTGGTTTATTAGACATTCAATTATACCACCTTTTTGTCTATTAGAGCTAGAAGCTATTGTAGTTGTCCACTGAAAGTTTTCTTTATAATAGGCATGTTGCTTGCCTTGTCATAGACTCATTTCCCTCTTTAGTTAATTTTTTGACGACAGGGATCAGTGGGTGCAGCCTTCTTATTGTAAAATGTTGGTATGTATAGATAGAGTTGTAAAGATATCAATCAAAAAGATACAATGCAACAATTGTATTAAGTGTTGGAACTGTAAAACTGTATATATGTTTCTGTGTAAAACTGTACAAGATAAAAGCCCTATTTATACGTAGGCTAAAGACTACCAGCCACATAATTCAAATTCTAAAAAATTGTAATGCCACCTGGAGAAAAGTAGTTTTATCTGAATTATAGATTCTTTTTCCCTCTGTTCTTTAATTGTGGTTCGTTTCTTGTCTCCTAATAGGGATATGGATTGGCTTGGTATTAACTCAGTAAAGTACTCAAATATGCTGAATATATATGCAAAATCTCTTTACTATATTAGGGCATGTTTATGCATCCTACTACTAGGCTCAACCTTGTTTGGCTGTTTTACGTGAAGTATGATTTATGAATTTTCTTCTAGTGTTAGATAAGGGTTCTGCACCACTCATAATTCTACAATAAAGAGATCATACTTGCATGCTGTGTGATGGACTTAAAGTTGCAGGTTGCATCTGTACCTAACATTCTTAATTCATGTAGTTAAACAAGCTTGTGGAACTATATAAAGAGAGCTCGGAGGAGTGGTCTAAAAAGGTAGGTGAACTTGAGAGCGTGATTAAGGCATTGGAAGTGAGTTTGCTTTGCAGTTGGTTATTTAAATGAAACTCATAGTAGAAGCAAGATGATGGGCTTTGTGATGCCTTCCTACGGGTCTAATGAGACCATTTAACCTTTGTTTGTTTATTATATTAGTGCTATCCTTTTTAATAGTGCAAAAATGTACTCACTTTTTACATGTAGTTCCAACAAGTTGATTATGACAACGGTTTTTAACGGTTATTGTACTCATTTAGACTTGGTTCGTGAATTATTTTTTGTAGTATTATGACTTGATGATATATGATTTGATTAGAATTGTTCATGGAAGTATTTAGACTTGTTAATTAGTTCTTTTGTAACTACACTTGGCCATGGTGAATGGATAAATTGATTTTTTATATGATTAAAATTTCAGCAGGTTAAAAACGGTTAAAATCGTTGAGACAACGGTTTTTTTACAAAAGACAACAATTTGAAACTGTTGTCTTTTCTAAAAAAGACAACACTTTATGGACGTGACTTTTAACAACAGCGGTTTTAATAACACAATTGACAACAGTTTATAACTGTTGTTTTTTAAAGAAAAGACAACAGTTAAAAACCGTTGTCTATGTGCATCACTTTTAATAACATGGGTTTCAACAACATTGAATAGACAATGGGTTAAAAACCGTTGTCTTTGAAAGAAACGACAACGGTTTAAAACCGTTGTCTATGTACATGACTTTTAATAACACCGGTTTCAACAACACTCAATAGACAACGGTTCTTAAACCGTTGTCTTTTCTAGAAAAGACAACGGTTATTAACCGTTGTCTATGTGCGTGACTTACAACAACACCAGCTTCAACAACACTTAATAGACAACGGTTAAAAAACCGTTGTTGTTTCTAGAAAAGACAACGGTTATTAACCGTTGTCTATGTGCGTGACATACAACAACACCGCCTTCAACAACACTTAATAGACAACGGTTAAAAAACCGTTGTTGTTTCTAGAAAAGACAACGGTTATTAACCGTTGTCTATGTGCTTGACTTACAACAACACCGGCTTCAACAACACTTAATAGACAACGGTTAAAAAACCGTTGTTGTTTCTAGAAAAGACAACAGTTAAAAAACCGTTGTCTATGCGCGGGACTTACAACAACACCGGCTTCAACAACAGAAATTATACCCCTACAACAACGGTTATTAACCGTTGTCTATGTGCATTTTTCTTGTAGTGGATATACTTTGAAATACTTATTTAAAAATAATCATTGGGCATTATTCCATTCACAAAAAGCGCGTAAAAAAACTAGTTAATTTAATAAGAGTAAAATAGAGTACTAATTATGCCAACTTTGATTAGGATGATGTTCGAACCTAACACATTTCTTATTGAAATCAATGAGTAAGTTAATCGTGAACTAACATAAATTAACGGAAAAGATAATATTTAACGAAAAAGTTTACGGATAATCATATTCATTAAGGATAAATTAGAAAATCTTAAGGAAAAATTAAAATCTGATCAAACCATTCATTTGATTAAAAAATTTGTCCCGTAATTTTTTCTACCCATTATAGGCATAACTCTCTTGAGCTCTTATTAATGCGCGCGCGCGCGCACACACACACACACACACACAGATATATATATATATATATATATATACACACACACACACACACAATCTACATCTATCTCTACATCTCTACAAACTTAATAATCTACATCTACATCTATCTACAATCTACAAACTTAATAAGAGCTAATAAAGTTAGACCCCTTAACGGTAACTAAAACATGTTGGTGTAATTATTTACTTAAATGAATGGTTCATATTATTTTTGATTTAATATTTTGTTATAATTTTCGTAACTTACCATTTCTTTTAGGGAAAATGGTCAAATAGACCCCTAAAATTTACACAAAAGTCAATTAGGCACCTAAACTTTAAAAAAGTGCAATTAAACCCTTAAACATGTCAAATTGAGCCAATTAAGCCCATGAACTGGTAAATGACCTGTGATTACAAGTCATTTTAATTCCGGCGAAAAAATTTGGCTATTGGCGACAGACCTAAAACAACCGGACAGAGAGACTGGTGGAACAACTGCACCATCTTTAAGTCAATCCAAACTCCATGCGCCATTTCAGATTAGTAACGTCCACAGGCTTGTACATTCGCCGAAAAACACAGAGCACCATTAGAGCAACACCACCGTAGACCAAAATTCCAGAAAAACTATTTGAGCCACCATAAAACCACACAACACCAGAAATGGGAAACAACAAATGGGACCACCATTGTACCACCCAAAATCTCTCTTGTACAAGTGACGGGAAAACCACAAGAACGTCCTCACCAGAGGCCGGAAACAGAGAACACAAGCTTATGCAACCACCCAAAATCACGGCTAAGAGGACCAATAGGGAAACCATAAAGCTACGTGAGTTTCAAGCCGGAGGACAGACTAGAAAATGAACCAGGGGGAACATCATATTCATGCAAAGAGCAATCAAACTGTACCACCGAGAAAGGTCCACCGAGACAGCAACATCACCTGTCCATATCGCCGGAGAAGCTTTCTCACCACCAGTCGCCTTCTACAGGAGAAGGCAACCAGATTTTCTGGTCACCTTCTACAGGAGAAGGCAACCAGTTCTAGTGGTCTTCCCCGGAGAAGGCAACCGCCTTTCGCCACCAAATTTTCTGGCCGAAATTAAAATGACCTGTAATCACAGGTCATATACCGGTTGATGAGCTTAATTGACTCAATTTGACATGTTTAATAATTTAGGAATAAGGGTCAAATTGGTCATCCAAATACACAAGAAAATTAGGCCATTGAACTCAAAAAACATGCAATTAGGTCCCTGAATAACGCAAATTAATGCAATTGAACCCAAAAGTGACCTGATTACCTAAAGTAGAGGTTATTTAATTAAAATAATAATTTCTTATTTATTAACTAATTTAAATAACAAAAAAAAAAAAATCCAAAGTCTTCATCGTCTCCAGGCTGCCGGACAAAGAATGGGTCTTCGTCTCCGACAGCCTGGAGACGAAGAGACCTCTTCGTCTCCAGGCTGTGGGAGGCGAAGGGACTCCTTCGTCTCTGGCCTGGAGACTAAGGAACCCCTTCGTCTGCGGCCTAGAGACGAAGGAACCCCTTCGTCTCCGGCCTGGAGACGAAGGAACCCCTTCGTCTCCGGCCTCCCGGCGAAGGAACCCCTTTGTCTCCAACCAGGAGACGAATCCCCTTCGTCTCCAGCCTGGAGACGAAGGATCCCCTTCATTTCCTTCCCGGAGAAGAAGGGACTTCGTTCCTTCTTCTCTGGCAAGGAGTCAAAGGTTTTTTTTTTTTTAATTTTTAATTTTGTTATTTATAATTATTAATAAAATAAAAAATTATTATTTTAATAAAATAACCTTCACTTCAGGTAGGCAAGTCAATTTTGGGTCCAATTGCATCATTTTGCGTTATTCAGGGACCCAATTACATGTTTTTTGAGTTTAGTAACCTAATTGCATTTTTGTGTGTAGTTCGATGACTTATTTGACCCTTATTCTAATAATTTAATTATACCTTTTAAAAGTTTAGATGCCTAATTGACTTTTGTGTAAAGTTTAAGGGTCTAGGTCCTATTAATCTATTATCATTGTTATTATTATTCTTTCTTTTAAACATCCCCATATTCCGTCTATCTCATACTTTTCCATTAAGTTTCTCGATGGAATCATCAAGTCAATAGTTGTTAGTGGAATCGAGCAGATAACAAGCTACGCCGCAAAACCTCCTCCGGCCCCAAAACCTCCCGACAACCATGTGGAATCGAGCAGGTAACCTTGTGTCGACCTCTTTAGTATTTCATACATTGCATATCAGGAATAGTAGTTTTAGCTATTAAATATGTGTGCATGTATGAAGTAGTTTGCTTTTTAATGTGTTCCACTATTTCTACAATTTGAGTGCCACATCCACACTGCCCTATTATGATTTGAACTGCAAAATTTGTAGCATTACAGATTTTAGCATATTTTATCTCTCATTATTTTTTGAATACTTTGAACAATTCTGAAACACTAATTTAAGAAAACACATTGGGCATTGGTCAAATTGTGCGTTGCGCGTGTGATAACTAGGGAGTAAGGTGTCATGGTTAGTGCAGTGGAAGATGGGCTGGAAGGAGAAAAACTTGCAAATATTTCTAAGTTTTGATAGTCGGGGACTTAAACGACGTCGCTGGAAGGCAGTTGTTGGTTAGTCGTTATTACTAATCTAAATGACACCGTTGGATGGGTCGGTTGAAACGCGAAGCAAAACGGCGCCGCTTGACTCTGGTGGTTAAACGAGGATTCAGACGACATCGTATGACGAAGTTAGCTGGCAGGGAGTGGAGCTGAGAATCCGGAAAGTTTGTTAGCTTATTTTTGGATGCATTAGCTTAGTTTTTATAGCTGTTGTTTTTGGAGAATTTTTATCATCTATGTTTTGGACTATTTTGAGTAAACCCTAGTTCTTTCATTACCTCTTTCTTATGTTCTTCTTTACCCCCTTCCTATCATTATTTCCTTGTTGTTTTTATATCAAGATCTTCAGGTTGTGACATTTTTGGTATCAGAGCTCCTTTCCTGGGCTAAAATGGTGACTAATGATGAGAGATTTCGAGTTTTGCAAGAGAAACAAGTGGAGTTTGAAGCACGGCTGGATGCCAGTAACCTTGAGCAACATGCCTTGATAGCATCTGGGCAACAACGCATGTAGGATACTATCCAGGAACTTAAGGCCCATATGGTGGAGTGGAAAGGCGAAATCATGGAGTTGCTACGTCTGAACAGGCCCTCTAACCCACCCAGGGACCAACCCTCAGCAGAAGGCCAGGCACACCCTCACCAAGACAGGCCAGGAGAGGCAAGTGTTGGGCCTGGCAGGAGAGCTGGAAAGGATCCAGTTGTGGAAGATGATGATGAGGTGCAGGAGTTGTCTGAGGAGGAGAGAGACCCTCTTGAAGCTCAGTTCAATCACCAGAGAGGTCCCAGGGGTGCTGACAGGCCATGGGGCCCAAGGAGAGCTCAACCAGAGGCCAGAGCAGGGAACTATCACCCTGCTGGAGACCCTCTATCAAGGTATAAATAAGACTTTCCTACTTTTGACTATGAAAACCCTAGACTGTGGGTAGTGAGGTGTGAAAGATTCTTTATGTTGGCAAGGATACCTAGGGATGAAG